CTTTAATTAAAAAATAATAAAAAAATCAAATCATATCTTATATAATACACAGAATACACCCTGTACTATAAATAATGCGATATTCAACAACTCAGAAAAAGTACCTACACAAAATACTCGGCCATTAAAAAATAAAATATTCAAAAATATTTCGCTCTAAATCTAAAAAAAAAAAAAAAAAAATCAAATCATATCTTATAATACACCCTGTACACAGATAATGCGAGAACCGATAGAAGTTTAGCACCTACCTAGCACACGTACAAAAAGGATGAACACAAGGGTAACAACAACTTATGGAACCGATGAATCATCCCCCTATCGGGGATGAGAAGAAAGAAGATTGCACTCCGGCAACACTTTACGCCCCGAAGTTTCTCTTTTAAAAGAGAACCTTTACACAAAAAGCATCCCCTGGTTGAACCAACCTTTCAGATTACCACCAGACACGTAAGGGTTTTGCCACGTAGCCGCGGCGCGACATAAAGGATCCGCTGTCGAACCGAAATCACCACCGGCCTCTCCCTCCCCCTGTCACGGTATTTGCTTTGTAAATGCCTCGACCAAAATCCGTATTCCCCCGCCTTGCGGATGACGAGAGACGCTCGGATGAAATATGGACGATCCCTGGATCCCGACAGATCGATCCGGGATAGTTTCGTTTCGAGTAACGTCGATTACCAAACGGAGCATCTATCGTTGATTTATACTACTTGCGCAGCTTCGCTTCTTTTGAACATTGGATCGAACTTGCATCGTTTTCAAAATTTTTTAAAAATCAAGATTATTATTATCACTTTGATATTGAAATATTTCAAAGGATCTCTTTAGTGAATAAAATGCAGAAATGAATGGAATGAAATGAATCTTTTGAAATGGAAATTTGAATTTTTTTTTTCCAGTGGATATAATATTACTTTTGCAGTTTTAAAGATAGCGAAAGAGTTGTCCAGTATGGAAAATTTCTAGGGAAGGATTTTCTAAATGTTACATTCTTTTTTTTTTGAAAATGGTCAGTTAGGTAGTATTATACGGTATGCAAAATTTTGGAGATAGACTTTTTTCACATAACTTTTTTAAAATGACGGGTAATCCATTACAATTTTTCAACAAGGATATTTTTATCCAGCAACTTTTGAAAATGACAAATACACGTATACTAAAATTTTAAAAACAAGAGAGAGATTCCCTTTCCCCTTTCTTTCTAAATAAACAAAAAAAAAAGTCTCGACTCGATAAGAGTAGATAATATCCCGCGAAAAAAATTGTGCGCGAATCCTTATCACGATTACAATAATAACAGTTGGATTCTCGCGCTTCCGGATTTACCGCTAATGGAGACGATTCGATGCAAAAGAACTCAATTATCCCGAACGAGTTCGAGACAGATTCTTTTACAGACTCAGCGAGAAGAGAAAGAAGAAGGAATGGAGAGACGGAAATTGAGGAAGACAAAGAAGATGGAGGAGAAGTGAGGAGCGGGGAAAGAAGAGGGAAAAAAGAGAAGGAGAGGGAGTAGTGGAGATAGTGAGAGGTGGGAAGAAGATCGAGAGAAGTTGGGTGGAAAGAGGGGTGGAAGTGAGGGGGAGGTCGCCAGGTTGGACGAGTCACGCCTCGAGAGTTGCTGCTCCGTCCCTCTATTGATTCGACGTTAGCAACTTGTTGGCTACCTCTACCGTGCTCGACAATTTTTACGGGAAACTCGCCCCCTCCGGATGGGGAAGTCGACCCTCGTGTTACGAGCAACCTCTCTATTTTTCCACGTGTCACGAAGAGCGTTGAGTCGAGGAGGAGTACACGTTTTCCAAGAGAATATGTACTTTCTTCTTCGAAAGTATCGGTTTCGAAACGCAATTTTTTAAGAGTCATTGTGAGCAGGGAGGGGTATATAAGCTTCTTTTGGAGGTTGAAGGTTTTTTTTATGGGTAGCTATTCGAGGCACGAGGTATTAATATTAGATGGAAAGTTTTAAATCACCAGGAATAAGTTAGTTAGAAGTAGAGGAGAGTTTACTTGATCCTAATCGCATATCCTTACAGTATAAAAGTTCCATTTTTGAGCACGAAGCTTCCAACTTATGTTTTATATTCGTGCTTTTATATACTCAATATCTTTTTTTATTAAATTACATCCTTTACTTTAGTAGCCTAGCTTCTGCCAACCGCTTCTGTCACTTCTGGTTTCGTAAAATAATATCGACTAAAAATAGTTTAATCTATCTCCCTTATACTCAATTGCCATTAAACTAAAAAAAGAAAAAGAAACGAAAAAAGAAAAGAAAAGAAAGTAAACGCAATAATACTTAAGATAATAATGATAAAGCATCGAAAGAAGAAATTATTGTCGAGTAAAAAGAAAAGTTTCTGAGGTAATTTTTTTTTTTTTTTTTTT